AAAATAAGAATTTTCAAAATGGCAACAGATAAATTTTAAAGGAAGAGTTGCGGAAGAGATACGGAAGAGGCAAAGATATGCGTAAAGAGTGTGGAAAAGTTGCAGAATGGTTGCAGAATAATTGTGAAATGATTGCGGAAAAAGTGCAAAGGTATGCGAAAAGATTGTGGAAGAGTTGCGAAATGGTTGCGGAATGATTGCGGAAAGGTTGCGAAAGAGGTGCAAAGATTTGCGAAAAGATTGTAAAAAAGTTGCAGAATGATTGCAGAATGGTTGTAAAAAAGGTGCAAAGATATGCGAAAAGATTGTGGAAAAGTTATGGAATGGTTGCGGAATAGTTGCGGAACAGATGCGGAGATATCTGAAGAGGTTACGGGAAGAGAGAAAATATATAGAGAGACTGCGAAATGATCGTAAAATTATATCTCGATCTTGCGGATAAATCAGGCCGATAAGTTAGGGACCCAGCGAATATTGATTCGCTATTCGCTAGTAGATCCTACAGTGACTCTGACTTATCAGTCTGATGATCCGCTAGGTTAATAAGATTAATAGTGACATTTCGTGACAGACGTACAAAGGCGACGACGCACAAAGGCAACGACGATAATAATGATAATGACGACGACATTTCTTAAAGTAAAAATTTCCAAATCAGACTTTGCGTAACAATATCGCTGCTTGTAGGGCACGTAACAGAAAAATAAAAATACTTTTCAACAAATAGACAATACAGACTTCCATCGGCAGACTGGGTCTTCGTGTCTAACAATTTTTTATTTTTCTAAATTTCAAAACAAAAATACTTTTATTATTAGCAAGTCGAACTCAAGCTATCGATCAAGCCTACTTAGAACTTGATCGGTTTAGATTCGGTAATTTCGGATACTCACCATTATTGAGATTCGGTAATTTCGGATACTCACATCTCGCGTAAAGTCACACCCGTTGACTTGACACCCGAGACATTACCGTGTCTTCTGATTATACTGCTTCTGCGCGATAATTGATAGAAAATTTTTCAACCATTTCTGGCTCTGCTATTAGTGATGCCCTAGCACTTTTGCAAAGCAGAATCTGCATGCAATTAATTGCAAAAAATATGCAAAAAATTATTCTCAATACGACCTTGCTGTCAGTAGACTGCAGACAGTCTGTTAGCAATCTGCTACAAAATTTGTTGCATTTTACATGCGAAATGAACTGTTCACAGATATTTGCTGCAGAAATCGTGTTATCTTGAAACAGACCAACTTTTTTCCATAATTGTAATAAGTCTGTAAACAGGTCTGTTAGCAGTTTGTCAACAGATTGATATAAGAATCTTGGAGCAGAAGTGACGCGCCGATCTTATGCAGATATTGTACAGAGTCTGCTCAATCAGCCGATTGAGAATCTTGCAGAAATCTGCAGATCTATACAAAATCTGTACAAGATTTGCATAAGATTTGCATGTCATTTCTGTTGAAAAAAATTTTATTTTAATCTGCTCACAGACTGTTAACAGACTGCAGTTATAGGAAAAATCTGCTTCAAGATAACTTAATTTTTGCAGCAAATATTTGCAAACAGTTCATTTGCATATACAGTGCATGAATCTTGCAGCAGACTGCTGGCAAACTGCCAGTAGGGCCGTATTGGGAATAATCTTTTGCACACCTGACTTAATTCTGTTGCAATTAATCGCAAGCAGATTCTGCTCTGCAGAAAATGCTACTAGGATTTATTCATCTTGTCCTTGTTCCTATTCATCTTTTTTTATTTTGTTATTATATGCTTAATAATCGCAAATGTGATTTATCTCGTACTTACCAAATTTGTAAAAATGAACGATAACTCTAAAGTCATCTTTGAATTTTATCTGTAATCATCTTGAATTTTGTATGTAAAAGCATATTTTTTTCACTTCTTTCAATAGTTATCAAACCGTGTGTTTTTCTTTCTCAATAGGCTTTATTTTATATGCCTTTTATGGCTATTTATTGACTATTAGAAGGGAAAAGGATATTAAATCCATTTTCACAAATGTTTTAAAGTCATCTCAAATGTCATTTTAATCAAATATCTCATTATTTGCAAATCATTTCTCGCTTATGACTTGATTCCAATATGATTTCGCCATCGACTAGTCAGGCGCCTTAGATATCCAAATAACATATTTATATTTACTTATATTTATATTTACTAGACATTACAAACGCGCGCTGCGCGCGCGTTATTTATCTTTTTCAACACAAGAACAAAATTTAATATAATACTATTATATTACTGTTATACTATAATATTTTTAACTTCTTGATACACAATTATCAAAATGATTCTCGCAGTGAGATCAATACAATGACAGCTATTCACAAAGTTAGCGCAGAGAGAGAACCAATCAGCATCGCGGAAAAGCATCAACAATAAATAACAATTTGAGAGAGATAAGGCCAAAAACAAGCACAAAGAATAAATAATCACAAAAAAAATAGTTTATAAATTGACTGAAAATCTATAAACGCGAATCGATAGTACATTTAATCCTACGAACGACGAATAATTGTTAACAATTTTTTAAAAGACGACGACTGTACATCGATTGCGAAGACGTTTACAGATTCTTGTGAGAGCGTACCCGTCACCGATTTAGATTACTTTACTTTATACACTTTCTGTTATTTTTCTCGTATTACTTACTGAAGAAGGCTCAGTGCAGAACGAAACGTTTAAGTCAATTATTAGTCAATTATTAAATCTACTATCGATTCGCGATTATTGATTTTCAGTTCAATGTATAAGCCATTTTTTTAAATGTGATTATTTATTCTTTGTGCTCGTTTTTGGCCTTATCTCTCTCAAGTTGTTATATATTTTACGAGCTTTGACATTTCATTTATTTCATCAACAATAAACTTCGAGAAAATTTTGAGAAATGCGAGTATCGATGTCATGCCTTTTTTTAGAAAGATATATGTACAAGACCGAGTTCTTTTAATAATATTTTGTATATTTAGACGTACGCGTTTTTTTACGAAATTTATTTTTGTAATTAAATATATATGACATGAAAACATAAAATACGATAAATTCTAATCATATTTTACAGAAAGCGACGTTAGGAGATATGCTATTAGATGAAAGGCTGTCTTTAACGTTGGACGAGATTGTGCATATTCGTAGTGTACTTACGAAAGCCGAATTAGAATCTCTTCCCGTGGAAGGACGTGTAAAAGAAGATGTAGAGAAAAGACGCGTCTGTTTCTTATGTCTGAAAACACGCTTTGGTCTGCTGGGCCCTTGGGGACAACGTTGTCGTTTATGCAAAAGAACCGTTTGTGTAAAATGTTACTCAAAAGTCAGTATATGAATCTTATATACATTCTTCAAATCTTATATACATATAAATTTAAAAAAAACTTAAATTAGCATAAATTTGAATTATAGTTATAGTTGGTTATAATTATAAATAATGTTCATAAATTAATGGAGAGCATTAAGATATTTATATACAAGATATTTATATATAAAATATTTATATATATATATTAGGTGTACAAAAAAGTTCTGAGCTTTAGATTTCATACAACTGAAATAACAATTTAAATTTTATATATCTTCCCGTCCTTTTGCGGTTTTAAAGCGTTGACATTTGGCCTTCTAAAATGCCATATGGTTTGGCTAATAATAATTTTAGCTAATAATAAAATGCCGACGCGTTTGATGCACATAACTTCAAAAATCAGTAGTGTTCACGATGGCAATAACAAAAGAGCATATTCGATTTTCCATCCACTTCGCGTTTCATCTGAAGAAAAATGTTGCTGAAGCCACTGCAATGATTTGTGCTGCATGGAGAGAGATATGGAGAGAAGAGACTTACGCTGTAAGTCATACTACATGTAAAAGATGGTATCAAAAATTTCGCCAAGGAGATTTCAGTCTTGAAGATGAACCGCGTGCTGGACGCTCTCAAAAGATTGAAACGGACGAATTGCAAGCACTGCTGCATATAAACTCTGCGCAAACTGAAAAGGAGCTTGCAGAACAGCTTGGCGTTACGCAGCAAACCATTTCCGTACGTTTACATAGGATGGGAAAGATTCAGAAGGAAGGCAGATGGATTCCGCATGAATTATCCGAAGACAACAAAAATCGTCGGCGTGACACTGCACTCACTTTGCTTTCAAAGTTCCGGAAAAAAGATTTTCTGCACAAAATCATTACAGGCGATGATAAGTGGATTCTTTATGATAACCCTAAACATAGAAAATCAAGGATTGACCCTGGTCAACCTTCGACATCGACGCCAAAGCCCAATATCCACGCCAAGAAGGTTTGCTCTGTATCTGATGGGATTGGAAAGGTGTGTTGTATTACGAGTTGTTACAACCGGGTGAAACAATCACGGCAGACTGCTACCAACAACAATTGACCAATTTGAGCGATGCATTAGAAGAAAAGAGGCGATTTACTGGCTAAGGACGTCGTAAAGTGATCTTGCTTCATGACAATACTCGACCACATGTTGCGAAAGCGACTCAGGACCATATCTTTGCGTAGGCTGGGAACTTCTCCCGCACGTGGCGTATAGCCCAGACATAGCGCCTTCCGATTACTACCTATTCCGGTCGCTGCAGCATCATTTGGCTGATACACATTTCGTGAGATTTGAAGAGATACGAAATGCATTGATGACTTTATCGCTTCGAAGCCGGTGAGCTTCTATCGTCAAGGAATTCGCAAGCTATCCGAAAGATGGCAAAAGGTCATTGATGCAAATGGGGAATATTTCGCTGATTAATATTTTTTTGTTTGTTTTTGAATAAAGATTGAATTTTACAAAAAAAAGCTTAGAACTTTTTTGTACACCTAATATGTATATTTATATAGTTTTTGAGATATAATCGAATTTTAGCTAATAATAATAATTAATAAATATAATAATTAATAAAATTTAAGTTTAAATTTTAATTATCAAATTGATTTAAGGTCTTTAGCAAGTTATTGTGTATTAAATTTATAATGTAAATTTATAAAAAGCATTTCATAAATTTTTCTTGTGCTATACATTAAAGTAACTGAGTTAAATTAACTTTATTAGATTTTAACTCTTAAATTAATGATTACGTTTTTTTCATATTTTAATTGTTTTGAACGTAAACATAAGTTATTAACAATGTCGACATTTTTCTTAGATGCGAATACCAACAGAGCAATTTGCCCGAGTGCCGGTTGTGCTGCTCTCTCCAGGACTGTTACTTTCGCCCACGGAAACAGAAAGCGATAGCAGCAAGAATTCTTGGTTAAGGAATGCAGGAACTGTCGGTTCTGCACCAGCTTCTCCTGCATCTAGACGAAAAGATTCTGCATTGCGTAGCGGTACACCTGCTTCGACGCCAACGATGACACCTATTTCTGCACTGACACCTACATCGACGCCACCTTCTCACGCGCGTCGAGAAATGGAAGGTCAAGAATTAGATAAAAGGTCCGAGATCAATTATATATTTATATATTAATTAATATTGTAACGGTTCGTCCCTGCGCGGTCGGATAATAAACGGTATGGAATCGGGGACATGGTTCGGTTGGACAGATATGCTCGTCGGATGCCGGGGGTTCAGTTTACAGAAGAATCCGTGATGCTTGAGTTTGATTAACAATTAACAATAATTTATTTTAATATATTAGATTAACATTACGAGGCGTTGACATAAGTCACTTATTGTTTAGTGGCGTGACTCTGCTCGCATATATTCGGTTTACAATTCGTGAGATTTGTGGTGCGGTCGAATGCGTATTCACGGTGCGTGGATCTGCGGCGTAGCGCGTTGCAACCGGACCCGCGTGTTGCCGAGTGATCGGGCGTACGTGTTGCTAGGCCCTAGACGCTTTCGCGACACGTATTTTTCGCGTATGTCGAGAGAAAAGTCTGAAAACGCTCCGACTTTTCGTGTGTGAGGAAAACGAGAATACCGCGAGCGCCGGTATTCCGCAGAAAAAAAGTCCGAGAACGCTCTGACTTTCCGAAAAGAAGGAAGAGAAGAATACTGAGAACTCTCGGTATTACTCTTGTATCGATCGGATCCGATCGAAGCGGACGGGTCGGATGATCGGACGGGACTGGTTCTCTTTGCAAAATTTATTGGGTTTATATACCCATTTTTGTGTTGACGCGTCAACACGCGATTTGTTAAATTATTTAAAAGATCAGCTGATCCATCACGCTGTCGGCGCGGCGCGTGTGTACTGTCGGTCGCAGTCGGGAATGTTCGGGCGACGCCGGATGACGTGCCGTACAGCGCGCGCTTAGTAACGAGCGTCAAAAAAACGCTCCGTTACAATATGAATCATTTAAATTTTATGAAATACGAGATGTATTCCAAAACGTACTAAAAATTAACAATATTAAAAATTAGTAGTTTGACATGATATGTATATTACAATAGAGAATTTGATCACATTACATATATTATACCGAATTAGTGTACACTAAACGCTGCTATACATCAAATATCAAATGAAATATTTCATATATAAAATTATCGAAATATAAAAATACACAAACATTTCAAACGATTATATAAATGTATATGTCAACGATGAGTTTATTTAAGATATGCATTAATGATTTTATCATTAAAAAAGTTATGCTATACCATTGTATTTAAATATTTCATATGTAGCAGTCTTTAATATATTAATTCGGTACCGAATGATGACCGAATTTACTTTCCGAGCATAGATTGAAAAAGATGATTGGATATTTCAAAAATAAGCCACGATAAAGATGTACATTGCTACATGATAATTACATTCTTTTTCTGTAAATATAAGTAGATTTTGTTTTTTTCATTTGTTCATTTTAAATAATTATTTTATCAATTTGCATAAACAGAAGTCGGATATATATGCTTTATATCAGAACATTAAAACAATAAATAGCTGTCGAACTTGTAAGCGGAAAATAAATCAATGGCAAAATATTTTTGAAAATAATTTATGCCTAAGACTAGAAGAAAACTTTTGAATAGTAACTTTACAATTATAAACTTGATTACAATAAATTGCGCCGGTAATTAAATAATTTTAATGTCCCAATGTAAATTAATTATTCCGAACTATATACATGTATATATATATACATGTATATATATGTGTATAAATGAATTGAATCTATACATCAGTGCTTGTAAAGAAATGCATATTTCAAGCCAATTTCGCATGCGTGCGTGCGTGCGTGCGTGCGTGTTTATATGCAACAAGAATTGTATCACAGGTAAATCAAATTATATTGAAAAGAAAAATTCATTTTGCGATTTTCGTAATATTTTAATTATTAATTTATTTATATACGCGTATTTATATACGCGTATTTGTATTTGCACGAAGGGGCAGTCCAGAATTATTATGCGCGTAATAATATGTTGGAAGATGCACTATAAACAAATACTGTATTATTTGTAAATCACATGTATAACCAAACATCTTACCATTCACTTAACAATCATGAACATGCATAATGCCGAGCTGTTTTTTCACATGAATGTTGTCTTATTTGCAAATCTGTAAATGAAAAATCTCTATTACGAAAATCGCAAAATGGACTTTCAATATAGGATTTCTTCAGTACGATTTATTCTATTTGGTTGAGAGATACACAAATATTTTGTATATACATTTATATTTTATTAAAAAAATTTTAATACGTTTTACGCAGATGTTACAAAGGTAGTGGCAGTCCTGCTGCGCTCTCAACTACGAAGACATTCTCTACCTCGAGTGGACCGAGTGCGGAACAGCATATGGCTGCGGAACGATTGCGCGGCGTTGCAGTTGTTGTCTGTCACGATTGTCGCATCATGGTTATCCAAATAATTAAGAGCTCAAGAACAACGCGTGCAACGATACGCAATAACGTCATTTCTCGTCTCACCTTGAACCTTTCCCCTGCCTATATTTAATTTTCACTACCCTTTAAAAAAATTTTTGTTATCGATGTTTATCATTTTTTCTATCATTTTGTCACATATTCGAATTTTATGTTTTTATGAATTCTTATATAATGAAAACAATTTGATAACATACATTCAGTACGACTTAAATCAAAAGAAAGTATATGTCGTTTGCGTAGATAGTAAAATTGAACATTTGTTTTCTCGTGATATGAGTTGCTATATTGATTTTTGTTACAAGATAGTATGACATAAGAAGAATTCCTTGTATTTATACACGGTATCCGCTATCATATTACCTTTCGTGGGCAAGTAGAGCTGATAAAATTGAGTAGAAAAGTCTTTTACTATTTTATAATTTTCGCGATAATTATCGAGTTATTAGTTTTTAAAAATCATGATATTAGCCCGACCCACCAGCAAATGCAAGCGCGCGCTAAGATACTCCCGCCCGGCAATTATCGTTGCTAATTATTTTCTTCAAGTGGCAATAGCTACGCACCAGCGGCGCGGTCGCGTGGTACCGCGGTCGCTATTGCCGCTTGAAGGAAACAATTAATCACGCACCGAATAACGATGATCATCGGGCGGGAATATCTTATCGCGCGCTTGCATTTACTGGTGGGCCGGGCTAATACGGTGATTTTTGAGAATTAATAACATGATCGCGGAAATTGCAAAATGACAGAGGACTTTTCTACTCAGTTTTACCAGCTCTACCTATCCAGAGAGGTGATACGACCGGTGATACCGGATATCCTGTATCAATTTCTCTATATTTATAGGAATGATAATCTCAATGAAATATGTTAATATTCTTTAGTCATACTTTCTCCGTTAAAGCATTTATGAACAATTTTTGAGTAAAAGAGTTTTTCTTTTTATCCGAATAATGGATATTTTAGATTATAAAGAAGAAGAGGAAGAAGGGAAAAAAAGAAAAAACGATTGATGTATAGATGATTCTATAAAATGTCATTAGAAATCTTTCTTCATAAAACGAGTTCGGACGTATGTTATAATGGCTATTTCAGCTCGATTAAATACTTCGGTATAATCTAATTAATTCTTGTGCTTCATGTAAGCATTTTTTTTACATAAAATATTATAATGGAGAGACTCACAGGTTTCACTATTTTGAGTTTTTAGGATTGGTTCTACGGAATATGAATTATTTTTATATTTTGATATTTTCAGAAATGTAAAAATTGTAAAATAATTTTAATTATAAAATTTTATTAGCAATTCTGTATAAATTTTATTTTATCTGTGATTATTACACGTGGTAATGTTTCTTTGTCACAGGTATTTTGATATTCCTCAGAATCTAAATAAAAATCCGCTAAATTAAAAATTTGATAGAAATTCAAAAATTGAAGAATCTGTGAATCTGAATGAAATTTTAGATGATTATTTTCTTGATGTAGTTAGTTAAAGGCTTTCTCTATAGAATGTAAAATTTATATTATCCATTTTTTATTAAATAAATAAGTAACTTTTCCAATTAAAATATTATATTGTAACATATTATTATGTCTTATATTCATATTTTATTTAAATAACTGGTTTAATACTAATAATTATTTATTTGGTATCAAAATAATATTCTGCTATATTTAAGATATATTTATATATATCTTGTAAGAAAATATTTAGGACATGCAAATTTTATATTAAGTTATATTATCATAAGTTATATAATCACATATTGGTCTCCATGTACATGTTCTTGTTTTTCATTGTTTATATTAATTTATTAAATTATAAGATATTAAAGAGAAGAAAAGAATTAAAACATTCAAATAACTAAACGCTTAAGAATAAGATGTAATGATTTAAAAAAAAAATCGAATAAACCAAAGATCTAAACGTCAAAGATTATGCAAATATTTAAAAATCTATGCACTAAGAATGTAAAATTAAAACAAAAATTTTGAAATATAAGAATTCAAGAATTTATAAATCGAATAATTTAAAGATTTAACGTTATAAAAATTTATAAGTAAAATATTAAGAAAAATTAAAAATTTAATTAATTTTAAAAATTTAAGGCTATTTCTTAGTTGATACCATATTGATTGTATGACATCCGAAATGAGAAATAATGTATAATAAATTAATTGTTACATACACTGTTTTATTTTCTAGCTTTTCCTAAAAAGTATAATTCTTGAAATTTCTTGAAATTTGTAAAATGTGCGGCAAAATAGTACACATATACATAGTATATTTTTTTTTTCAACTATCACGGCGGATTTTAATAAGTAAGAAAGAATTTACTGTTATTTCAAGAATTACATTTCTATTTGATATATCAGGCAAATATTTTATTTATCTTATATTATATAAGTTTTAGAATCACGGAATTAAATTTTTAATAAAGTTTAGGAAAAAAATTGTACATAGCAATTAATTTATTCCATTATTTTTAGTTTCTGACTTCATACAATCAGTACAATACTGAGACATAATCAAGCTTTAAGAAGTTATCTAGAAAACTAATAAGAACTTAAAAAGGTACTTGAGAAATCAAATAATTTTTTTATAAAACGTTTTTTATAAAGTTACTTTTTCATTTAAATTTTGTTTTGATAATTCTTAATATCAATTTTTAATTCAATCTATATATATTTGTCTATGTCTTATCTACATATATTTATGATTACATATTTTATGAGATAAATAAATCCTTGAATTTCCAACTTTTTGCTTCTATATATCTTCAAACAAAATTTTGATATATTTCATCAAGAAACTTGAATTAGAATCTACAATGTCTATATAATATTATTTCAATAACATGAAAGCATAAATGCAAAGACATTAATTTTTATATTGATTTTTACATATCATCATTGATCATTATGCGTATAATTTCTTCATTCTCTTAAACAATTCATTCTTTTCAATATCTGAACTCTTAGTAAACTTTAAAATCATTAGAAAAATCTATACTTTGTAATATTTAGCTATCTTTTTAATTATTTACATTACAGATTTCTATAAAAAAATAGAAATACTTATTCCACTTTAATAAAGAATATAAAATAGAATGAAAAAAGCTAAGATAATACAATATCATTAATCACTTAGAAACAAAGGCAAAAATAAACAAGGTTGAAGCTTTATAAAAATAAAAGTAATTGTTGAACCAAATTAATACATATAGAATTAATTTTTTGTAAGATATTACTGTACTCATTTTCTATAAATAATAACATGTTCAAGTATATTGAGATTAATTATATGTTTAAGAAGTATACAAGATATTCTAAAATATATACATGTATATATTGACAACTTTATTTAAAAAAAGACATTGTGATTTTGAAGAAATAAATAAAAAATAAGCTTCAATTCACATGCCATTAATTTGAAATTTATTTATTTATTCTCTTTTAAACATTCTTTTTCTTTTCTATTTTCTTTCAAATACTCTTGTACTTTTAAATATGTTTGCATAATTTTTCATCTCAAATAAATTTTAGATTCACAATTGACATAATGAAGTATTAGCCAAAAATGTAAACACGGACAAATATTTTACATTTGACGGAAAATTTAGATTACAGATTTTTTTTTAGAATATCTTGCATGTAATGATTATACAATGTTCCCCGAAGTGATAAAATAAAAACAAATCGAAGAACGAAAATGGATGCGGTAATTATCGATGCATTTCATTATAATAATATCTTCATGTCAGATAAATAAATAAATGTAATAGAAACTTTACATATACAAAAAAAAGATAAATAGAAAAAGGATAATAAATACACAAAGAAATTTATAAAATGCACGTTTAAGAGTTAGGAAATATATTAATTGATTACATTTGATGTATATCATTAAGCAAATATTTAATAAAATTATATTTAATAGAATATTGATGATTAAGTATTAATTAATTAGATTTATTGCATGTAAAATGAATTGCGATTATATGTAGTTCTCGTCTGAATTAATTTATTATGTCGCGTGTTGTTGCACATAAAAATATTATAAAAACTATTTTATAAATTATATTAATTGTACATATTGTAAATGATTTGTAAATTTCTTTACATTGTATAATATGTCTTACAACGATATTATTTAATTCAAATTTCTTAAAGTGCAAACGAAACTGTAACAGTGATGATTGTTATTTAAATGTATCTAAGCGAGTAAAGATTAGCGATCGTGGGGATCTTAATTATGATCCTGACCATGATTCCTATAAGATTCCTATAGGGTACAGAGTACAAAAAGGCAAAGTAATAAATTATGAAATTCTGTTATAAATTTTCAAAATGTCTTAATGTTAAATTTGATAAATAATTGCGTATGTATGTACATTTCTCTTTCCATATCATAAATACAAATGCATATAGGATGTTCTATTTTAATAGTTATTTATCTTTTAAACTGGACATCATTGAAAAATATCTTGAAAGTTTTGGAATTTTCAGAGGGACATATAACAGTGTTATTGATTTGATATTGAATAGCGCATGTGCGCACGTGCATGCATGCATGCGTCACAGCAGAGATAAGAACGTATATTATAATTCATTATTCTCATAATATTTAATTATTTCAAATCCTTTCTATGCTATGTACATGTTTATGTGCGTGCGCGCGTTTATGTATATGTATCTATGTGTGAATATATATGGACGTATATGAATATGTCACAACAGAAAACAAAATTAAATAAATATTATAAAGCCGCTATTTATAGTCGTTCGTATATTTAAGATTGCTTTAAGATAACATTTCAATAAGATAGTATGAATTTACTTAAGGTGATCTTAAATATAAGAATGGAATGTAAATACCAGCCTAGGAGTGATAAATCGTGAGGCCTTTATCTCTATTATGTATGTAACATACACCTACATACACAATAGAGAGTATATATTAAATATTATGAGAATTACGGGAATGATTAATCACAGAATTTTTATTTTTGCTGTGACACGCACGCACGCATGCACGCACGCACGCATACTGAAAAATTGGCAGAAGGAGGGAGAAAGAGAGAAGAGAGGGAGGAGAGAGAAAGAAAAATTTCCTATTATGTGAACTAAAAAATTATATTCTCTATATTTATTATTCATTTTTTAACACATAAATATGCAATAGATCTTATTTTAAAGGATGTTTTTAACGAAAAGCTTCAAAAACACTCGTGACTATTTTAGCAATTAATAATAAAATTAATAATAAGTTCCGATTTTCATAACTTTCTCCGATCTTGGTCAAATTGTTATTTTGTGTTTCTAGAAAATCCCAAATATGATTAATTTAAATATCAATTTTAGTCAAAGAATGGCCAAAACTTAAAAGTTTCCTTTCATATCTCGAGATTCGATACTAACGTTTTATAAGAATAACAATTTACTCTTTAGAGACAGCGATAGTTTTGGATTTTCATTTTTGGACTATTCGGATGATAGAGTAATTTAGACTTTGTAACGTAGATTTGACTACTTACTTATTATTTTTATTATCGCACTGAAAATGACTTAAATAAAAAGATCAAAACATTTGCGTTTATTAGCGTTTATATTATATTAATGTTTATATTAATATCTATAATGTTTATAATAATTTATAATTAATTTTATAATTTAATTTTTATAATTTAATGTTTATAATTAATTTTTATAATAAGCACATCTAGCTTAGTTCGTAATCTTCAAAATTTATCTCAATTTATCTCAATTTAGATTTTTATCTTCTCAGCCTATCATAATTATTATGTTTATTTTTAATGTTTTTATATCTAGAAGTAGCATATGGAAAAAAATCATGACAGTTCATTTTAAGAATGGATGATTTTCATCACTTCTTCATAAATGATTACCTAATATTAAAATATCCAAAATCATTATACATCCCTCTTAAAATTCTAAAACTTTTAACTCTCGTTTCAACGTACGATTTAAAGCTTAGTAAATACCAGCCTCGGAGTGATAAATCGTGGGGTAATATAGCTATTTTTATTAAAATCAGATACACATATACATGGGATTCATATATACATAAACATATAATTATAATCAGATTGTTATAAG